CGCGGACTGAATGCGCTTCGCCCGTCGATATGACATAATCCTGGGGCACATCCTGTTGCAGCATCAGCCACATGGCCTCCACGTAGTCCCTGGCGTGACCCCAGTCGCGTCGGGCGTCCAGGTTACCCAGCTCAAAGTGGTCCATCTCGTTCAGCGAGATCTTGGCCACCGATCGGGTGATCTTACGCGTGACAAACGTCTCGCCCCTACGGGGGCTCTCGTGGTTGAATAGTATGCCGTTCACTGCGAATATGTTGTACGCCTCGCGATAGTTGACGACAATCCAGTAGCCGTACAGTTTGGCTACACCTATAACACATAGGGATAAGGGTGTGGGGAACAGTAGTTTAGATTAGTGTCGGGTAATTATAATACATTTTAAACTATCAGTTCGTTTGGAAACATACTGTGACTTAATTGATAAGTATTTTAACAGAAAAATTAATTCTTTATAAAACATTTACAACCGCCTAATAGCTAGCGTGAGAGGGGGACAGGTAGGTCGGGCGCACACATACCGTACGGCGAACGCGGATAGAATGGTGTGGTCTCTGTCTGCGGTATTTGCTGTACTTTGCCGTACAGTTCCGAAGTGGACGCCTGATAGAAGCGGACGGTGGGCTCGAGTCCGGCCGTGCGTATGGCGTCCAGTATGCGCAGGGTGCCCAGGGCGTCCACGTTGGCCGTGTACTCGCTCAGGTCGAACGACACCTTGACGTGGGACTGAGCGGCCAGGTTGTAGATCTCTGTGGGCCGGATGTCGTGTATGATCTTCACTAAACACGAGCTGTCCGTCATATCGCCGTAATGCAAGCGCATGGCTATTATGTGGGGTGTGATCGGGGGGTTAGTTGGCAATTATCACCACGTATTTGCATATCTGAGCAAATGTATCGGATAATGGATTTGAATTTTTTTTGTAATGATTGTAAAGTTAGCAAATTAATAGATAGTCTGATGATTTGCAGTCATGGTGCTAATTAACTTTATTACGCAAGTACTGAATTAGCCACAATCATAAAATGGCAAATACCTCTTAAATATGAATGAATAAATTAATTTCAATAATTTACGGTATGGTATGTTAATTGAAAAATATTGTAAAATATAATTTTACTAAATGTTCATATGTTTCCATTATCAATATATATTTTCTCAGATACTGTATGTGTTAATGATAGGGTGTTGACCGCCACTCACAGCCCCCTTGATGCGTGTAGGGGTCGTCGTACAGATGCTGTATGCGTCCCGTATTGAAACTACTGGACCGCCGTATGATTCCGTGCACATCATAGCCCTTTTCCAATAGGAATTCCGCTAAATACGAGCCGTCCTTTTATGAAACACATTATGTTTTAATTATTATTTAAAATTTAAAATTATTTATGAAATAGATTTGAATTGGTTAATGTAATTATAATGTAAATATAATAGTAATTATAATAACAATAATAATAATAATGTGTTTATAAATGCTATTATTAAGTTAAAGTCAAGAATATTCATAAAAATTATTTGACTTTCATATCAATTTCAGTTCAAATTTACGATTAAGTTATTCATAAGATAATTGTGTTTATGTTTTTAGTTTGAGATAAGATATTAAATTACATAATATTTATGATATTAATTGTAAATTACGAGTTAACTAAATATTGCACACAATAAATGATAATTGGATTATAAATAAGACAGGTAATTTTTTCAAAGACATTATCTGTCTACAATTAAAACCCGGATTATTTATGATAGTTTATTTATATAATATATTCTGAAAATATTCCTAATAATACAATAGTATAAATAAACATTTTATTTTTTATCATTTAATATATTGTTTACAAATAGTATTTACAAATAATTTAAAGCAATAATTCATTGCTTAAAATGCATTTCACAAATAGGATATGACTTGATATGGAAATCTATATCTAATAATGATTTGTATATTTTGTTTATGAATAACCAAAAAAGAGTAATTTAAGATAATATAGATTGCATTTCCAGTCAGTAATTGTATACAAAATATTGTTTTAAATAATAATTTCATAAATATTTGAAAAATATAAATTATAAATGAGTGCTGATAAGTTTTAAAACATAATTTTTAAAAATTTTCCAAAGTCTAGCCATATTGATAGATAGTTATATGAAATTAAAGTAAAAGTCAATTTTTAATGTTGCATAAAACATTATAAACCATTTATGCTATTTATAGTTAAATCACGGTTTATACAAGTGTTGTAAAGAGTTTTAAAAATATTTTACTAAAAATATAAAAAACAAAAACTTTACTGTAAATTTAATATAAGAAAAGTATAACTTTGATTAGAAATATGATATAAACATTTTAATTTTTCAGTATTAATGTTTTAATACATGAGAATTATATGAAATATTAATTTCATTTTGAATATTCAGCAAATATTTTGTTAACTCATTGGTTGCTTATGCATTTTGTACAGTATTGTATTGTATCTCAATTATTGTAATTTTAGACACATATTGTATTCAGACACAAAAAAATTCACTATTATTTGCATTCAATTTATTATTGATATGAGTATAACATTAGATATGAAAGAATAATCATAGATATGAGAGAATAGCATATATTATCGATATATTAGATTCAATTATTTAATTATTTTTCACAATTTTAGAGTGAGTGAGTGAGAGAGAGAGAGAGAGAGAGAGAGAGAGCTATTTAGGGAGTGTTAGGCAATGAAAGGCCAGTTACCCTCATTCATACCATAAATTACCAAGTTAATAAAAACATTCTAGCTAACTTGTAAGTATTAAAACCAAAATAATTTAGCATGAATAAAATTAATGTTATAGAAATAAAATCATAAAAACATTTATAGCAACAGAATATTCACATACCTGTCCAGTGATACCGGTAATTAATGCTACTTTCCTACCGGTGCGATCGGTCAGCCCATTCCGAGCCACTACCTGTCCGTTCATTTCCATTATAATTACTTTTATAATTAGTAATACTTGTAGTCAGATGACTGTAATACAAATAAAATAGCATAAAATGTTTGATCAGTTATTGTGAGTGAAATAATTGTAACGAGAGTTTAATCACAGAATATATAGACATTCGTGTCATTTAATTGTCCATAGATTTCATACAAATATTATTAGATTTTTTTCAAAACATATTATCAATGCTATAATGAAAACAGATGTGAAATATTCTACACTAGAGGTGCGCTAATGCGGGTCTATATGGGTATGAGTTAGGAATTTATATCAGCCTGATACTTGTTCATAATAATTTAAGCTTGCTAAATTGTGGGATAAACTTGATAAATACAAAATTACTTTTAGTTGAGGTTTTGCGTAAATCTACCTTGATATAATTGTGTTTTTTATAACAAACATTAATTAGGGTTGTAAGGGAATGTTATTCCCTCACATTATGCTATGCTATTGACTCACATCTAGTTTAATATTCTGTAAAACTTTACAATAGATGTCATGCTTTTTAAATATCATAGTGCCACGAACTGAAGTTTTTAAGCGATTTAAAATTAAATATACAATTAAACTAGCTATTACAAACACAATTTATTGGTAATCTTAATTAGTTTAGGAAAAATTGATCCAGTTCAGTTAGCAAACTGAAAATTTAGCGCAAAACCCACTCAAACAACACACGTTGTATACGAATAGCGCATAACAAACAGCAATGGATTTGTTTATCATATGTTTCACACAATTAACACATGAATCCATTCAACAGTAATTGTATTTAAACTACAATTAACTCAACGTTATGTGAATTACATATCCATAGACACCATGTCATATAATTAACACGACACGTGTGATCACCATTAAATAGCCTAGCTTATTTAAATCAATATATTTGAGTTTTTTTTATATTTAATTTAATTTATTAATTAATTTTGTGTACAAATATATATTTAATTGTTTTTTACGTTTACTTAACACTGGGTTTTGAAATTAAATGTAATGTAAAACAAATGATAAGTTTTTCTGAATGAAGTTTTTAACGCAAAAAAGTTTTTATACTTTCATTTC